TCACTATAGCCTACAGAAACTAGCTTATATTGGGCTCTACTATCTAAATCCATAATAGTGTTTTAGTAGATTATAACGATTTTGTGATATTGTTGATTTATAAGCGTTTTTAGCGATTTTAGCTGATTTAGCAATATTATACTCTAATAAATATCAAATTCATTTTTATTGGGTGAAAACAGATTCATATTTTTTGATTCAGTTCAGTATATGAGCCGGATATTATAATACTGTTAAATTAGACCCGATCACCATGGTCGGCTAAACTATAAAATTAGTATCACATGTGATCTCCCTCCCTATCCCTGCCAGTTCCCGGCACTATCAAGTATCTGGATCAAGGGATGATCGGCTAATTATTTCCCGATGATTTCATAAAAGCAAGGGCTTTTTCTATCCCTTGCACCTGCGCCTTCATTTTATTAATTTCATGGCGTAGTTGATTATTTGCCTTAATTCGTTCCTAGTCAGATTTTGCATAAATCGGTCAAAGGTTTATTTATTATATTTAATCAATTGCTTTTGCAGGACAATTCATAATTAACCCGTTCATTTATTTTTGCTTCATGATCACATGCAATATTATCCGTTTGAGTGAAACGTAAGAAATAGGCAATGGGCATTCAGGCCAACTTTGGGGCGTAATTTTTTCCGATCCATAGTTAGATTTCGGGAATGTAAAATATTATATCTAATGCAAAAAAAATTTAATCACAGATTCAGAAAATAAATGCTTTCGCTGACTTGGATCAGATTTGTCAGCAATTGATTCTAGTAAAATAAGGTCCTAGAATGATGCAATAATCTGTGTTCCGCACTTGATCCTGCTCTAAGAGTCTTGTTTCAACAAGATTGCGTAAAAAAATATGTGCGCATGATAGTTTGTCACGCAGATCAAACAAAAAAATTTATTATACACGTTACACATCGCAGTTATGAATAATAGATCTTACAAACTTCTCTACGCAAATTACACGAATTACATTGGAAAAACGATATTTTATGTTATGATATTGTTACAGTTTCAAATAACAAATTTATTGCTAATTCAATATGTTAAGGAAAAAAAAATCATTTTTTTAGTTTATTTTCCGTCTTTGAAGTGCGGGGTGTGGAGAACGTTTTAGGGAAAGTAGGAGGTGGTGTGGAGCTTCTGGGCTTTTCTAGATTATTCTCGATGTCATCGTAATCATCATCGTCAGTATCATTGAACAAATCGTTTAATTTATCATTGCTGATCAAGTCTAAAGTCTTCACAATTATTGCTTTAGCACGTAAAATTTCTTTGATAACGAAACCTAATGGCTGTATCTTTGTTAAACGACCATTAACTTCGTGAATTTTTCCACGTTTGACACGGCAAATATATCCCCTTGGTGCGTCCATTATAATCGTTTGCAATCGATTTCCCCCATTTAGTATTCCAATAACTTGCAATTGTCTAAAAATATTATGATTACACTCGGAAATAAGTTTTGTAATCATGTCTTTTAGCATCTTATTCAACTTTAGACTATCCTTCAAATATTTCGTCCCATTTAATCCCTCCCATTTGCGACCAGCTTCTACAGCTCCAAGTTCCATGCGATCTGTTGTGATTCTGAAAATTCCGTCCCCCTTTCTCCCTATTTTCTTGCGATCAGAAGCCATCTTACCGTCATTTTTTCTGTCACTCGAGGCGAAGCTCATACCCTCACCCCTTACTAACTCAAACTTCACATCATAAAAAGCTGGATCAATCATTTTGCTCCATACGTTAAGTTGGTACCAACCTTCCAGCTTTGATTGATCCGAAGTAAAACTATCCTCCATTTCCCACAAGAAAAGCATTCCTCTATATGCATAGTTTATAAAGTCGAGATTATAATGTAAATTTCTATTAAATTCCCCTTCTGGTACGAATGGCTGTAGGGAGATTTCCTCAAATCATTTACGTTATCAAGGGTATATTTTTTAATCAATTCAAGTAGTGGAGCTTCAATCTCCGGCTTCTTTTGAACATCAGTTGAGAAAATCTCTTTCCATTCTTCCTTTGAAAATATTGTTTTGGCGTTTTTGTCGGTGTCGTTTAGGATGAATGAATGTAGACATGATTCTTTGTGTAATTTTCTTGCGTACTGATAAATTATTTCCTCAACTTTTCGTCCAGATTTTAGCTCCCACATTTTTTCGGGATCCATCGCTATATAAGATTCATCGAATTCTGTAAAATCAAGCATTTCACATGAGTCTTCGGTTTCACTATAATCTGACTCTTCATCCACATCCGTAACATCCTATAATAATTAAAGTTATATTAGAATATATTTTCATCATCGAACTCACTTATTAACATTCTTACAATCGTTGTAATATGACCAATGTTTTGTGACACGTTTCGACGTTTGCTTTTTTCCTCTTGGTCTTTCTCCATTGAACGTCTTTTCCGGTTATTCTATAAAATATGTGGTGAGAGATTGTGGAAAGACATAAATGAGAACTTGAGCATGGATCCCGAATAACATGAACTTACATCGTCATTCTCTAATTCATAATTGTCCGATATTTCCTCTCCATTTCTAGAACGATGTTGCGAGGACGTTGCCTCAATAGTCTGACCAGTGTAGGGTAAGCGAAACTGTTTTCCATAAAATTTACTCGATTCATCATACGTATAAAGGGTTTCCATATCATAATTACTTTGAATTTTACGCTAATATTAATTATAAAATGTTTCATTCAGGAAAAAAATGTATTAATAAAAAAAAGACGCTGATATATATATTTTTTGCATTACCTGTAGTCTTTCAATGATCACTTCTTGCCAAAAGGAACACAAGTTGGACTTGGTATGCTCCAGGATCACCTTGTTAAATAGAGTAGATAATTAGGATATATATTTCATTGTTCCACACCCAAACAAACCAAACTATGACAAAACAGAGCGGTTCGCAATGGTGGGACCAGAAAACTTCTGATACTCCAAGCGCAGGTAACACCTGTCAAAGAGTTGCCTCACACCATCACTTGGATCAGAAAACTTCTGATACTCCAAGCGCAGGTAACACCTGTCAAGGAGACTCCTTTCATCGAACTAAAAGGAAAAAATTACCTTCCCTTCCACATCGTCAGCTGACTCTGGGCTAATTTCTTTTACAGCTAGCAGGAATCGTTTGGTCCACGCGCCATCAAGGCCTTCCTGCTTGTCCAAATGCGGTAGTAAATTTACAATAGCGGTACGGTTTAAAGTTAAGAAATCTATGTACGACCAAGTACTGGGGTCACGCTCGTTCAAATAATCTACAAGGACTAAAAACGAAGTGATTAATAGCTAAAGTTCGTTTCTAGTCTAGTAGTCTTTATTACTATGCTTGCCTGTTCGGCCAGGATACATTTCATACATTTCAAAACTTAGGAAAAAAGACGACGATTATGAAGCCAACTTAAATTATGTAAGATAAATCACGTGACATCAATATCTGTAACGTGACCAGCATTTCAAGGTCACACCCTTCGTGTTTATCACATATTATTTGCATTTGATGCCAGCCAGTATAAATAATTTCTCATCTTCGGAAGTTATGGCTTTTTGTAAAGAAAAAAAATTTGATGCAAATGCCCTAAAGTGGGCAAAACTTTATTAATAATTTTTCATGAAATGTATGATGCTATCAAAGAGGGAGGGAGTACGCGGATCCTAGGCCATTTAATGCGAGTCCCAGCATCAAGTTATTTCGTTTATGAAAAAAATCTATAGCTAATTTGTTTCTATTGCTAACTACAAGATTCTCATCCCTATACTCTTTTTCTACACTAGATATTCGAAATAAATAATCCCACCCATATATACAGAATGTTCGCCTATCTATATCACTCCCACCCACATAAATTATAAAGAAAGTATCGATTTTAGCCAAGTTCCACAAGAGAACTTTCCAGAGATCAAGTAATTTCAAGTCTACTGCATAAATTCGGGAGATTAGCAATGAGGTAAAGAAAATAAGCAATGCAATATTTCTCGATTCAAACTTACCAATATACTTAATTTTCACAACATTTCATTCTGCCTCATATACAAGGAATTGATTGCTTAATTTTTTCTGCGTTATCACCGGAATGATATTGCGCAAAGTTTTAAGAATTCGGCACGCGATGATGTTTATAATTCCATTACCGGATGATATACTGCGCCAGACTTTTGCCGTACCGTTGCATGTGACGAGAATCATGTGAGTAATTTCACTGCGCCTATTGTACATGTGATGATGATGATGATCGAGGATTTTCTCAGCAAAGATCAAAATGCTGATATATAACAAGAAGAGCAATATGTCCGTTTTATTATGGAACATTTATAGCGGAAGATCGATTAAGATCGTGATGACATGTTTCAAGAAGCTAGTCGAGCAATAAAATCAACATATCTTATTATTGCTTTGCGAAATATACTTGTTTGATTGATTGATGATATTGTCGATATTAATAATGGTAGGTTTAAAATTTTATTAGATTTTTCGTTTGATTTTTTGCTTATATTTACACAAGGCGGATAAAAGGGTTCACTAACTGTCTCAACTTCTTTTTATATGACTTGTAATGGGTTTAAGGTTCGATTT